AGCTCCTTTTTCGTCGACGGGGCCGAGAATGAAAATTGAGTGCGGGGAAATGAAGATGAATAAAGGGGGAAAATGGTGAAAAAAATGAAATAGGAAAAAGTTGATAAAATAGTGTGGGCAATTATGTCTTCTCACATGCCTTAATGGCTATATTTCATCTTTTTCAAAGAGATGGCTAGATTTCATCTTTTGTTTTGTTGAAGTGCTATAAAGCACCATTACCACCTATCTTTTTCTATCTTTCTCCCTGCCAAAATGGCTATATATATCATTTTTCTCATGCCACGATTCATTCATTACATCAATCACCCCTCTCTCACAATAGCTGGCTCTGGCAGCATTTAATTATTATTATTGCTCTAATCTTCCCTCACACACACGAATCTATGTATGTAATTATTCGCCAGCCAACATTATTTATTACATTCACGTGAAGAAAATTGAATTCAATGAGTCCCACCGAATCCTCAACATCACCTATATTATCCTCCACCACCACCACCGCCAACAGCCCCCGCCAGTTTCCGAAATCCAAGCTCGTATTCATCTCCATGACCGTCCTCCTCTCTCTCCTCCTCATCTTCTTCATCACTTCCTCCGCCTCCACCCGCCACCGCCACGCCTCCACCGCCCACCGCGAGGTCTGTCGTGCCTCCCGCAACCCCACCGCCTGCCAGGCCTCCCTAACAAATTCCCCCACCGTCCTTCTTGCCGTCCAATCCGCGGTCGCCGTCTCCTCCCGAAATCTGGACACCGCCGTCGGGATGGTGCAGGACGTCCTGGCGGATCGGAACCGCTCGGACGCGGCACGCACGTGCCTGGAGATCCTGCGGTATGCCCGTCACCGGATGAACCTGACTGGGGAGGCGTTGGCGCGTGAAGGCGGCTTGGGGGACGCGCGGGCGTGGGCGAGCGGGGCCCTGGCATACGAGTACGGGTGCATGGCGGGCCTCAAGAGCGTGAACGAGACGGAGACGGCTGGGTTCCTCAACTCATCCCTGATCCCGTCTACGTCGGACGTGCTCGGGATGCTGGCCAGCTACTCCGCCTTTGGGGAAAAGACGGAGTTGTGGGCCCCACCGAGGACCGAGAGGGAAGGGTTCTGGGAGCCACTTGTGTCTTATTCATCTTCATCTTCATCTTCATCTTATTTCTCTAGAGGGGTGGAGCTGGGGTTGGAGGCGAACGTGAGCGTGTGCCGTGAAGGTGGGCCGTGCGATTATGGGACGGTGCAGGAGGCCGTGGATGCGGCTCCCAATAATAGTGATTGGCGCTTTGTGATAGGGATCAAGGCTGGGGTGTACGAGGAGACAGTTAGAGTCCCGTTGGAAAAGAAGAATGTTGTCCTTCTCGGACAAGGCATGGCCAACACCGTCATTACAGCCAATGCCAGTGTGGCCCACCACGGCCTCACCACTTACAATACCGCCACAGTCGGTCAGTTTCTGTTTTCTTGTCTTTCTTCTTTTTTCACTCACTCTTATTTGCATACTATTCTCCACAATATATTATTTCTGTCTGTTGCTGCTGCTACTCTTCAATTTTATCGATTTATTCTCTTTAATCATTGGCATTTTGCTGGAATATGTATTACACAACATCTCATCATATCTCAGTCATGCGCTAACAGGTGTTCTTGGTGATGGATTCATGGCAAGCGGTCTGACAATACAGAACACAGCAGGTCCGGACGCTCATCAAGCAGTAGCTTTCCGGTCCGACAGCGACCTTTCCATCATCCAAAACTGCCAATTCATAGGCAATCAAGACACCCTTTATGCCCACAGCCTGCGGCAGTACTACAAATCGTGCCGCATCCTAGGGAACATTGATTTCATATTTGGACACTCGGCTTCTTTTTTTGAGGACTGCCTCATCTTAGTCACTCCTCGGCAAGTGGATCCAGAGAAGGGCGAGAATAATGTAGTCACTGCCCACGCCAGAATAGATCCCGGCCAATCAACGGGTTTTGTCTTCCGCAACTGCGTGATCAACGGAACTGATGCATACATGCGTCTGTATCATGCGAAACCCGGCGTGCATAAGAATTTCTTGGGCAGGCCGTGGAAAGAATATTCGAGGACGGTTTTCATTAACTGCACGTTGGAGGCTCTTATTGCGCCTGATGGGTGGATGCCCTGGGATGGTGATTTTGCATTCAGCACCCTCTATTTTGGTGAATTTGGGAATACCGGGCCTGGATCTAATGTGTCCGGCCGAGTAAACTGGAGTAGCCAGATACCGACCGAGCATGTGAATTCATACACATTGGAAAATTTCATTCAGGGCGATAGATGGGTCACTGCATCTTCTTGAACTCATAGCTGAGTGCTGACATTAATTGTTTGTCTACTTGTGGTGCCAAACTTTGACTCGCGAATTGTAGATAAATAAGGATGTTAACCAACAGCTAATTTTTTGCTGTGTGGTCTTCCCATTGTTTATCATGTATATGCTGCTGTGCTGAGTAAGACCGGCACTTTTATGAGTAGGATTGCTTTTGCAAATACTAAGAAAATTCTCAAGTTTTTGTCTTTGAAGTTAGATACCAACATTCGCAGAATGCAATAATTAATTGTTGTTACATGTCTGTAGAAACTAAGTCTTTCCTGATGCAGTTGATTTGAAAGCACCCCTTGCTTCTGATTAATCTGAAGAAGAGGAATTTAAAAGTACAAGCATATATAGTGACATTCTTTTTCCTTTTTTCCTGGAGAAGTTTTCTCTGAGATGATGAGAGGAAAAGCAAACATGTTTAAGATTGTAATTGAATGAAGTCCCTCAATCCCGAGTCCTTTGAGTCACCAAAGAAAAGAATGAAAATAACGAAACATAGCGAAAAGGAAGGACCAGAAGTAACATATCCACAAAACCAAAGTGCACAAAGCAAAATCTCTATCTACATACAGAGATTCCAGCGTTCAACAACTCTGAAGCAATAAGAGATCTACCGAACCGAGCTCTTGGTCAATGCCGGCGGAGTAGGAGCTGGTAACTCGCTATCTGTCCAGTTCGTCTCCCCCCAATGCCTCAACATGCTCCGCCAGTTGCAGTACTGGTCAATGCACTTGTTGACCCGCTCGTCTCTCACCTTAATCCTCCAGTGCCCGTCCGAGTAGTTCCCTTTCTCTGCCTGTCTCCTGTCCCACTCCAGCTGGGCCTTCTGCTTGGACGGCAGTAGACAAAACTCCTTGAGCCTGTCGGGCATGGCATCGTGCACCCTCCACCACTTGGCGTGGGCCTCGTCGCTTGCAAACTCCCGCAGTATGTCCACATTCCAGTTGCAGTCGTAGTCCCTGAAGCACATCCACGGCTTGTTCCCCAGGTAGTGGAGGACATATAGAAGCGGTGGGTCGGCCCGAAATAGAGCAACCTTTTTGCGGCGTACGATGTCATCATCCCCAACCCAGAAGTTCTTGAGGAAGTTCACGTGCTTGGGCAGGCGGTGCCACCACGTGAATATCTCATTCAGGTAGCCCTGGTCCCCGCCGTTGTACGACTCGATCTCGTTTATGTGGTCCATCAGGAGCTGAAAGGTGCAGTTGGAGGGCTCGATTACCATGACACCGGAATTGAAGAGGGTGCCGTTGTTGCCAGTGGCAGATATCTGGGGCATCCCGAACAGGAAGTCGATGTTGCGGAGGATGAGGAGGTCGGCGTCGATGAAGATGATCCGGTCGTAGTCGGTCAGCTGCCAGAGCCGGAATTTGCTGTAGTTCCACTCGTTGTACGCGTCCTTCTCGGCCTTGGGGTTTCGGATGCGGGCTATGGTGCGGACGTTCCAGCCGGCCAGCTCGAGCCCGCTCCTGTGGTAAGCACTGATTGTCTCGTCTACCAGTATGACGAGGTCCTT